AGATAACTGAATATATTTTTATTATAATTTTTTAAAAGAGTTAAGAAACGTGCAACCATGTGAAGAAAAATTATGTCATTAATTCGATAAAATTATTATAAATGATTACATTACATATAATATTTAGTTTTTCTTTTATTTTTGTTATTGAATTAAAGTAGAATAATATATTTAGAAGTCAATAAAAAATTATTATTTAACTAAAATTTATTCTTTTATTTTACTGTTTTGATTTGACATTTATTTTTCAACTTTTATTTGTAAGTTAATATACAAAGTATAAATTTTCTAATAAATTTCTCATAAAATATAATAAAAAATTATAAATCAATTATGTTATTTTTCCTCAATTTTTAAATTTATTAAAAACTAATACTAATACTAATTAATGTCATTTATCAGTGATGATATATAATTACATAAATATAATTATTTCTTAACATAAATAATATAAGAGATGGCTTTACATTATTTCAATGCAGACAGACTATTTAATCTGTATTACTAATTATTGATTAACTAAGTTAATTATTGTACACAATTATTCAATTATAATAATGGTACATGTAGAATGAAATTATATAAAGGAATAATTAATTAATTCTGTATTAAAGGAAGTAAGAAAAAGTATAAATAGCAATTATAATATTAAAAGCTATATATTTATGTTTACTGAATCAGCATAGAATTTATAAACGCACATTTTAATAACTATTATACAATTAATGAATTTGTTATCATTTGCTATACCAATTGATTAACTATAATTAAAAAAAAAAAAAAAAAAATATATATATATATTTAATAAATATAAAAAAAATATATATATATTTAATATATTAATATATTAATCACATATTGAAACATATGTAAAGCTATAAATATCATTATAAATATAAATATTAATGTAAATATATCAATGATAAAATAAATTTTTAAATTTCCAAATTTGTACAAATATGTGAAAATGAATATAAATATATTGTTCATTAATACTAAGTATTTATAAAGTAAATGGAGATTAATTTTAATAATAATTTTTTATTTTCATACATGTTGTGGAATATAAGAATGACTCTCAATCTCGCATAGAAAAATTATTAATTTTATTTTCAAATATATTTGATTTTTTAATAAAATTACATTATTTATCTTTTACTTCTATATATTTTATTTTCACATGATGTACTATATATATTTACGCGTGCGTGTATGTGTGCATTTTTGATCAAAATAATTTTATCCTCAAATTCTATTCTGTATGCTCAAAAGATTTTAATAATTTTTTTAATATGTCCAGAATGAATTAACTGTGAATTTATATTTCACCACACATACTTAATATACTTTATTATTATCTGGAATAAAAAAGACTAATTCCTACATTAAAAATTTCATATTTGAAATAATTATTCCGTTATAATAGTTATATTGCAGCAAGAATAATTTATTTTATATTATATTTTATATTATATTTTATATTATTTTATATTATAAGAATAATTTATTTTATACTCTAATCTATGATTTATACTGTTATATTTTCAGAAAAATGATATTAATATTTTTCAATCTTTCTTGTATTTTAAATATTATATTTATGTCCAGAAATTTGAATTAACTGTTGCGGGATTAATGATTCTATTTATATGTAAATAATACATCTGATTATTAAAATCAATAAATTTTAATGTTAAATTTATGTCAGACTTTTATATGGTAAATATTTTATATGTGTATTGCATATAATTTTATTAAATTAATAAATATCTATAATAAATAAAATAAATTAATATTAAATCGAGAGAAATTGATTGATTTCAAACATTTAAAAATGTTATTAAATATTAATAATAAATCTATTATAAAATTTTCAGTTTATTTATAATATAACTTTCTGTTAAATAATAATTTATTTAAATAAATATTTGATTTCTTTAATAAACGGGAATTAAATTTTTGTAGTTGATTGTTTGAAAAATAATGAATAAAAAGATATATATACTGAAATTTTATAATATTTAGATTTTACAAATCGTTATTTAAGTACTATATATTTCTTTGGTATTTTTTAGATAGAAGCAACTTAGGGCCTCTAGAGTCTTAATGAAATAATTGCTTAAGTAAGACGACAATTAGACATTACGTTATATTACGAGAACCAAAAATTAAAAACTATTTTGTATGATAGAGGATGAGATTTTACCATAACCAAAAATAGAAATCAGCATTATATAAATACGATATATATGCTATCTGAATATTACATTATTATTTAGTGAGGAATTTACAATAAAGTACCTTAATCGTATTCGATTGCGAAATAGTACCCAATAACTTCAAGAGAATACCATTATCTAATTATAGAATTTAGAAAGGTAATTTGGAAAGTAATGAGAGATGTATCGATATTTAATTTCGCACTTTAAAATACTTTAAGAAAGAACGAGTAGATGGTAAAATTCGTTATTTAATTAAATGTGGACACTCATTAAATATATATGATCAAAGCATGAAAACATGTGCTAAAATGTAGATCTAATTTTTATTTATTACGTTGCTTCGATTATAAGAAATAAATGTTCCATTACTCCTCCTAAAATATGTTGAGAGAACTGAATTAAACACAATGGATTGGATTTATCAAACGGTGTGCTGAATTCAACCGTCATAATTTTGAATGGTTTCTCGAAAATTAACTTTTTATAAAACACATCAAATAATTCTATAAAGATGAAGATTATAAATTGCGAACGTATAGGTTTTGAATTAATCGCTCGTTCCCTGACTTGTAGATGTATACAACAAATAAATGCTATAATAAAAGCTGCTATTATTTAATTTGTAATAATTAAATTAATTGTAAATATCTTTTTTTCAAGCATTTTAATAATATTCACATGCATTAACATAAATTTGAAATATTATTGAAAACTATATAAACTATCGGTATTATGTTATATTCCAATATTTTATGGATGTATTTGTGGAAAATAAAATTTTTATATATATAACTTTCATAGAGAAAAATAACATTTTTTATCTTAAAGTGTTGCAAAAATTTTATTTATTATATATATATATATATATATATATATATATATATATATATATATTCACTCTCGAATACCATCAAATTTAAGCGGAGCTTTGCACTGTTTCTATGAAATTCTTGTTCTTCTTTTTCATTTATTTGATCATATTCCACTATGCACGTATTTATTCTACAACTAGAGAATTTCTTTGATAATGAATCCTATATAAATGTTACTAACCAGCAGAATTTTTACATATCTGCACTAGAGTAATATCTTCTCCGGAATTTGAATAATATTCATTTGATAGATTTTAATTCAAGTAACATCTTTAAATTTGTTAAAAAAAAAAAATTATAAATTAGAATTTAAAATGGTAACTGACTGTTTAAAATATAATTTTAATATTTTCAGGTTGAAATATAAATTTTAAATATTTTGTTACCCGATAAATAAGAATGCCTATCAAAATTATTTGACATATTTTATATTTTTATTATTAATAATTGTGTAGTTTTTATTATATTGAAAAAACAGTGATATATCATTATTGGCTATGCTTTTACAAAAAAAAAAAGTAGTTATGAAATTAATTGTATTGACAAAATATATAAACTATAAATGAAATTTATATTATTAACTAGCATATATAATATTATAATAATATCATAATATTTATAAACTAACAGAGATTTTTGAAAATCAATATCATTCAATATCAATAAATATAATGTTAGTTTTACATTTTTTTATAAATCTTGTAAAATAAATATTATAGATTTTTTATTTATTTATGCGTAATACATAATCAATAGATAAAGTGTATACAATTCAATAACTAATTTTGATAACAAAATTCTTAATTATATAGTAATTATATAACTGCAATGATAAGTGTTTTACATTTAAAATATATAAAGTTTTTAAATTTTAATCGTTTTATCTTAAATCGCTAAGTTAAAATTTGAAACGGTTCAATCAATATTTTGACAGCTATTTTTTTTTTTTATTTTGTAAAACACAATATCTAATATAATCATTTACTTAATGCCAATAAATTATGGCTATAGCTTTAAATTATTAATTACCAATTTAGTTGGTTACTACTTAGTTACGATTTATTATGTTATTTTCAATTACTAATTATTATATAGATAATTTTTATTCTATGATACTCTATTTATTCAAAAATGAAAATTTAGTAATATTCATATATTCTAGTATATATGAATAGATAGAAGATTAATAAAAACTTAATAAACATAATTTATATTTTCGACAACATTAATAAACTTCCACTTATTAGGAAGTCAATACTATTAAAGTAAATATAATTAATTGCGAAGCATAACTGAAAAATATCGTGTTTAACTATACGATATTAAAACTGGAATTTAACATAATTGAACTTGATAAATATTTCATATGCATTATGAGATGCAAAATACAGTGTACTAATTCTATTTTTAATTAAATTGAGTTTTTTTGTTTAAATAATTTATAAAACACGTCATTTCGATGACATCAAAGTAATACTTTAAGATATGTATTAAGTACTTTATATTTTGAAGATTTACTTAAATAAAAATAGAGTTTTAATGCAAAATTCTAAAATTAAATCAGCAGTTAAATTTTATTCAATGAAACTTTCAAATTTAATCAAAGTAATAACATTAATAATATATAACAATTAGTAGTTATGGCAAAATAATTTCAATTTGTATATCGGAAATTACATAAAAAAATGTATAGAGATTTAATTTTCAATAATTCGCTATCTGTAAAAAAGGAATAAATTTATAATATTTTTATATATTATTATATTCAATATATTATTGTTGTATTCTGTATTCTGTATTATGTAATATGTAATATTCTATAATAATGTTACTGAATTTGTTACTTATACATACGGGTTTAAAAAAAAAACCGAGTGAGAATTAACGTGTATTTAAATAAACTTACCCAGTCTTTACGAAATTGGCAAAGTACTGAATTATACTCTGCGATAGTGCAACTTCCGCTCTTGTGTAATTCCGAGGAAAATGTCCGAATCCATCGACTAATGGAGCACCGAAGACGAAAGGCAATTCCTCGCCATGTACCGAACCCATTTTCTGTAGAGTAACAAATAAGGATACTAATTAACCATTTAACCATGCTTAATGATTATTCAAATATTTGTATTATTTTTGTTTGTTTTCTTTTTTTTTTACCATCATAGCCTGAATACTACGAAATCACTTCTTTAAATTACCAAATTAATTTTACTCTATTGTACAGATAACAATGGAATTATAACATTTTGCTCTCTACCATGAATTCTATTTTCCTTTTGTGTTATATTATAAGACAAACTAACAGTCTAGTAGATTTATTTACCAAGTTGTCAGAATGTATGTACATAAAATTGTATTGAAAATTATATAAAAACATTCTGATATTGAAAATTCTTTCATAAACATTGACAAATTAATAAAATATTAATATTTTCAAGTATAATGATTTATGTAATAAATATGGAACTTTTAAATAATTTAAAGAAAATATTATTTATAAAATATTACGAATGCAGAAATGTAACTAACTATAACTTAATTTTATTATTAAGTTTAACAAAATATTTTAGTGTATTCATAAAATATTTAAATAATTAATTCTTTTAGAAATATCTCATAACTATTAGAATAATAATTATCTTTATATATTAGAAGTTGCTCAATCGAATTTAAGATGATATATATTTTATAGAGAAATAAAACTATTCTATATTATAATAATCATTATGTTCCTCGTTTGAATATATATACATATATATAATTCATTTTTATTATATTAATTGATTTTTGTATTTTTTTTTATGAACTTAATTAAATGTAATGTAATACCATAGATAATTTAGAATTGAATATCTGAAATATTTTTAAAACCTTTTATATTGCTTGATTATAGTTTATTTTCTTTGAAATAATAATATTTATCATTAATTTAATTTATTTGTAAATAAATAATTATCAACTTTATAAAAGTAAAATAGTAAAAATCTAATAAAGTTAAAAAGAATTGCAGTATACTTATGACGCTTAAAATAATTAGATTTTGAAAACAATATTCACACTTTATGTACTTATAATGTATTTTATATAAAAAAACATTCTATATTATTTTTTAAATTATTTGAATAGTAGAAAATTGCTCTAATTTATTTGCATTACTACGTAGCTTATTAAAAAAAATTTGTTAAGTAGTCTTTAAAAAAATTTCATCTCATAAAATTTGATAAATTTATAAATGGAATTATAAAAAAATAACGTAAAATATTTTTTTTTTACTAAAAATATCATGTTTTCCTATTTTAAAATAATACTACGATATTTTAATTAAGATATTTTAACAATTAATTTTCAAAACAATATACTATTTTATTTTCATAATGTAGAAATAACAATAAATTATTTTATTTTATATTTATTAGAAAATTAGGTCTTTTAGAAATTACAAAAAAATTTAAAAAATTTTATTGTCTGAATATTATAATTTCTCATTAAATTTAAAATCAAGTTCTGTTTGTTGAAAATTAATTATACTAACAAGCATAAGTAGGGTTTGATGTTCTATGTATTACTAATTACAAATTGTCAGTTAATCGATGTTCGTGGAAGAAATCGATAGAGTTATTTAAATGTTTCATTGATAATAAAAAATTAAAAAAAAAAAAAAGTAACATAGAGGATAAAGGAAAGACTCTTTAAAATAAGCAGGAAT